GAAAACAAGACAAGAAAATAAAAAGAAGGCTACAAACCAAAGGAAATAAACTTGGAATCTCTGGTAGTTGAGATTTCAAAAACTGCCTTTCTTCATGATCTCAAAGTCCTCTATCTCAAGAAGAAGCAACACCCAAGAAAACCTCACCTCATAACCAAAAATCCTTGTGGTTTTCCTTTGAAAAGGATATATCCTATTCCAACCAACTAAGATGGTGCAAAGAAAGGTTCCAAACAAGCTTGATATCAAAGCTGATCATATTAAAGCCAACAAACAAATGATGAACCTCAAACCATCTTTACCAACATCACCAAAACATGATATCAAGAACAGAGGAGCTGACCTCAAGACAAAGATGATGAAGAAATCAGGCAAAACCAAGCTCTCAAAATATGAAATCCGTCACTCACCCAAATTCAGAAGGCATGTTCCTCAGCCAGGAAAGCCACCACCTCTTGTCCATAGCACTACTAATTCATCAACACCAAAGAAGTCAACTCCAAATTATATGAAGTCCACCAGCAGTTCTGTTGCAAGGAAAGAGCAGTCTCAGGTTAGTTCAAGGAGCCCTCAAACTTATTCTCAAAGTTCTAGCAGAAAGAATTCAAATAACTCAAAGTTAAGCTCAGGTTCTTCTGTTAATAAACCAACAAGAAGTTTAGCTAGAACTTCTAGTTTGAAACTAGTGAGGACCACCCTGACAAAAACTCCCAGTTTTAAACCAGTAAGAGCTTCAACCAAGAAATCATGTTCCCCAGCTGTTGTTCTGTGTGAAAACTTCCACGTTGAAAGAGCAACATGTTCGTCAACTTTGAAAGAAGCTAAGTTTCCTTCATACCTTGAACTTAGTCCCGGAGCAACAGAATCAGATGGAACTTCTGTTTTTAAGGTCTGCCCCTACACATATTGCTCTCTTAATGGCCATCATCACCCTCCTTTGCCTCCATTAAAGTGTTTCTTGTCAGCTAAAAGGCGTGCATTAAAGACTCAGAGGAACTTCAAGTTGGGATGCCTATCTCCCCGTCGAGCTAATCCCCATGGATTAGGCTTGAATGCTAATGTACCAAAATCAATAGTGAATCCTACAGAGGTAGCTCCTCTGACAAATGAAGACGACGACAGAGATTTTTTTATCGAAATTTATAACAAAGAAAGGGAAGAGATGGCTGATACCATTAGTAAAAACACAAACTCGGCAGATGATCTAGTAACTTCGAATGAAGGCAGTGAAGTGGCAGCAGATGATACAGAGGGCAATCTTGATCAAAAGAGAGAAGATATTTCAGCAGAAATTAACATCCTTGGCTTCTCTCTTGCAGAGAATCTAAATGAAGGTGCTACTGAAGAGGCAGATTGTGAATCCTTGAGTATGCATAGTGAATTAGATATAGAAGAGCCTGAAGCTTCCGATATGGACTGGGATGTAGAGAAGTACTATGCAAACAGCAAAGGCGAAACAGGTTCAATCTCAAATGATATAAAGCCCATCACACTGGTTGATGATTCAGTTGGCAGCGGCGAGTTTATGGAAAAATCATCTATTCTGGAAGAGACCTTGGATAACGGAAGTATCATCTCTGGAATAAGTTATGATTATGATGACTCACAATCTGCCTGTTCGCACACAGAATTTGACATAGATGAGTGTGTTGAAGCGTCTGTGGACACCTCAAATAACTCTCTGGATGCCACTTTCTTTCTGGAACAGGAAATAGCTGAGAAGCCAGAAGATGAGCGCGGTCCCTGTCTAGCAGATGGCGAGGCAGCAACAATGGATAATCAGGTTGCTGTTACCTTCTGTCTAGAAGATGAAATTTCAGCTTCTTGCGAGGACGATACAACTCTTCAAGATGATGATGCAACTACACTTATGGGGTATCAAGAGCTAGATGTTTGCAATTTCAATGAAGTACAAGATGAAACATGCAAGGACAATCAAAAAAGTTCTGATGAAAACATTGCTGTCAAGATGGAAGACGCGAAAACAAAAATAGATTGCTGTGAACAAGGAAATGAAAATGATCATGGCAGTAATGATAAACAATTGGTAGTGGATGCAGATCTCAAGAGAACTGAAAGCGCTTCTGGTGTCAAAGCAGATTCAACAACTGAGGCATGTGAGGAAAAGCTGAACCAAATCAAAGATGCACCAAGATTTAAAGATAAGAAGACACATAAATATGATTCGAGTGTAGAACTGTCTGAGAGCTACACAAACCTGAGAGGCATAGCCAGGCGCATTGACATTGAGGAGCCAGGGGAATCAAAAGAATTCAATCCACGAGCACCAAATTTCCTGCCAGTGGAGCCAGATCCAGAAGCAGAGAAAGTTGATCTCAAGCATCAGATGATGGATGACAGGAAAAATGCAGAGGACTGGATGGTTGATTTTGCACTCCGACGAGCAGTGGACAAACTTGCACCAGATCGCAAGAGAAAGGTAGCATTGCTCGTGGAAGCTTTTGAAACAGTCACGCCAACATCTAAATGGGAACCTCACCTCAGGCGCAGCGCAGCAGGATTTGCACATTCTAGACCAATTCAAGCTTGTCGCTGATGCCAGTTCAAGGTCAGTTACAAACTCGTAGAATTTGATACAATCCTGTCCTTGTAGCTCATATTCAAACTAGTATGATAAGGATCAAATCTTGAATTACATAAAGTTGTTTCCATAGATGAGTTACAGATCGGAACACATGTTTCCATTGTGGCACAGGTGGACATCAGCGGGGAGCAAGTTCTTTATAAATTAAGCCTGTCAGACCAAGAAAGCCCAAGACAAAATACATTTCTAGGAGCAAACAAGAATCTTAGGTCCAGGAGCAACTGTTTGTTTGGGTCCAGGAACAACTGGCTTGCTGCTCACAAGTCACAACCCTCCAGCGTGTGCAAAGATTTCAGCTTAATGGCATTAAGGGAGTTGATTGGGATTGAATGATGGAAACCATCATCATGGATTCTCGATAATTCGATAGAACCTGCTATTATGCTTATTTGTCGAGGATGATGCCTATCCATGCTTTAGTGTTGTTAAGGGTTTTATGTATTTTCATCTATGGCTTTAGCTACAGTAGGCTAATATTTCATGTATGTATCCATGAAATGTTATGATACCATGATCTTCATCTGTCATCTCGGCTACAATCTGAATAATGCCAATAAAATGCTTTAACATGCATGGTACCAGTAATCACAAATGAGCAAATTGAATTTAACGGCTCAAACATTGGTTATTACTAGTGTTCAAAGAGTTAACTGCAAAGTAAGGTAAGCAACAAAATGGTCGTAACTGCGCGCTAGGAACGATTTAAACACTATGAGCAGCACACTTAATGTCGCTTCACGTGTATAGAGGAAAGAACTGCAGCTCAGCCAAGTCACCTCTATCATAAACTTTTAGTCATTTCTCCTAAAGATTACCTAATTTCAGATACTGCTCTATCATGTTTCAACTGATCATTCTTTATCGATGACATTAGACATAACTTTAAGTATCCACTAATCTACCCAAATGCAGCACCTTTTTCCATTTCAATATTTAGGCCATGGTTTTTAGGGTATTATTTCACAATTTCCACTTCATATTAATTCTTTGCTACATTCCTTTCACAATTTTTTTATTAATAGTATAATCATAAGGCTGAAATGCTGAGCTGCTAACATCAGACAATTTAGCCATGAATATAAGGTGCTGGACTTTCTTTATGAGACCTGTGATTTCAACTCTTTTCAACAGGCTATTCTCCTATGCAGTAACAATAGCAATACACTGATATCTTTTCTCTTGAATCTAAAACTTCCAATTTCTAAAATTTTAGCAGTATTAGTTACCTTTTTTCCTTCAGTATTAGTTACCTCATGGGGCCAAGCTCAAACATGTCAAAAAGTAATTTTTTATTTCTCTTCAAAATGCCACACAACTTTAACTTAAACCTTGCATATAATATTAGAAAATGGAAATATTCCACATACAAACTATGCATTCAAGTATACTATCTTTTTTCTTCTGAATGCAATTTTCATGGAGTATGATGGAAACACATCACTTCTGAAGGAAAAGCTATTGCTTTGCGTCTAAGTGCAATTTGAGCCCTGATTCATCAATAAGTGATTGTAGCTCTTTCTGGTAATGGTCCAGAAGATGGTCATCGGGGCTGAGGTCATTGGCATCGGCCAAGCAGGAGCTGGATTTATCATCTTTACCACTCTCTTCCGATTTCTTTGACAGATAATCATGGAACACCTTAAGCACTTCCGTTGTTGAAAGAGATTGCACAGACTCGTGTAAATGTTGGAACTTGTTCTGGATTTCCTTAGTATCAACCATTCTTTCTTTCAAGTCATCAGGAAGAGAGGCAAAAGCACTTCAACAAAGAGGAAGAAAACAAAAAGAGAGAAGATCAAATTTAAATCCAACGCAGCATGAAGAAACTTTCTAGTTGGTAATACAAACTCAAATCTCCACAAATTCCATCAAAGAGATGCTCATACTCACCTAGTGATACCTCTGACAAGACCCCAGTTGTATCCAACATATACAGAGTCCCTAAAACCGATGTTAAATCCCTCTTGTGCTGAAGTTTCTTTCCCTTCCATAAGACCATCACGGTATCCAATCTGATAATTCATCAGGAATTACCAAATACAAATTGAATTTGCAACCAAAAGGAATACATCTAGTTTTGTTTTTCTGGATACTCTCAATCAGATTAAACTTGTAAGGATACAGTATGAAATTGGTCATGCCGCCTCTGCCATTCCCTGTCCATTTCAGATGTTTTATCCAATTTATCAGTAGAAGCATGACACAAATCTCCATCATCATTCCACACGTCGTCCCAATCGCTGTCTGGAATTAGATGTTAATCACAGTCAGTGCACTTAACACAACTATGTGCTGGAGAGAGCCAACAAAGTAAACCAGACATAAATATGGGAATATCTCCACTTAGCAGCATTTAACTAACATAATTATTCACAAATCGCGATAACGTTTTAAAATGTTTGAAATGAAAGAATAGGAAAGGACAGGAGAGATACAGTTCTTTCAATTTTAATTAATCTTAGGCAAACAAAGAAAGGAAAAGAGAGAAAAAAGCATTGGTTAATCAACAGAAGCTCAAATTTGCTATCATCCAAATCTGCTGAGAGTAGCCAGCAAAGAAGACCTTTTTATAATATAACGTTTTAAAATGCCAATGAAGACCTTCAGTTTTCCACTTCGATGGTTATTCAAATAAAGATGCAATCCCAGTAATAAGAGCACCGTATCATACCTCTTTTATTAACGGCAATCTATTTGATATTCAAATCTTAATACCAAATGCATTTCTAATTTTAATTATCAGTTGAAGCAATCAGCTAAAGTTCATACCATGTGAATCATTGTTTCCGGTATCGCTAGTCGACCTAAGACTTGATTGAAGATTTGACATATGGAAGGTGTCAGGGTAGAGTTCATTCTTTATACTGCTTTCCATCTCCAAACCTAGGACAATCAGCTGAAAATAGTACAAAGAGAAGAAATGAAGTCAATTCAAATATCATAAGCCAAAAGGAAACCAATAAGTAAAGAATTGAGTCACAATTATACCAATAGCCTTTGTCCTGTTGTGAAAAATTACAAATAACTTTTAAGCCAAAAATTTCCACATGTTTGCACAAACTGTATTTTACTAATAGAAGCATTTGGGTGCTCAATGGAAGCTAATTGTACCAGAATACATATCACTGTAGCTGGCATGCTTCTTGATAAAAAAAAAACAGAAAACTTATAAAATGATTGATGCAATGGGTCATCCATTTATACCATTTCATACACAATAGCTTCCAAGAATGCCATTCATTGCAACACAATAAAATATTTCATTCCAATAATTATTGAATACATTTATACCATCTTCAGTCCTGTTTGGTTATATTACCTCTTTACCGTAATAGATAAATAGTTCAGCTTACCGAGTTCGGATCAAGTATCCTCTGGTTGGAATACAGGCACTGATAAATAAAGTTTTAACCCAAAATTTGTAGCTTTTGATAATTTATCGGGAATTTTTTTTTGCAGCTTTTGATACTACAGAAAAATAAAATAAAAAACAATAAAATAAAGGTCTACTATCAAACAGAAATTGTATAATATGCAACCAAAAAGAACAATGTGCCAGGAAAGAAAACCTATTCCCAGCCTATGAGCTTCTCCTATAAATTAAAATCTTTTCGCCAGATTAAAACTTATCTATACCATACAAAATCAAGATGGCATTGTTTTTACTATGAACTGATACTGATATCTCAAACTGAAAAGGCATATGAAGTAGATGAATATCACACAATAACCGAATCACAGTAATTGTGATAACACAAGGAAGAAATCATTCCTTAACATTAGCAAAAAATTAATCCTTCTCTAATAGGTTTCATCCTTCCTACAGCAGTAGGATTTCAATTTAAAGGAAGATTTGCCGATAGATTTGCCCAAGAAAAACCCTATTGCCAACGTACGAGCTTCTCCTAATGGATTTTAATCTTTTCCCCCAGATTAATACTTATATATCTCATTAAAAAATCATGATTTTTACATCAGTTTCAAGTTTCAATACTTATAGATTGAGCTTTTTGAATAAGAGGATCTTCTTACCTTAATTTGAAGCTTTCGAATTATGGAGCCTACCTTCCTTTGTTTCTTTGCCCCCTTCTTTCCTGTACTAAGCTACAACTCCTTTTGTCCACAAAAATATACTCTTGAGCTTGAGCATTAGCGTGGAGAAGAAACCGATTGGGGTCGTCACCCATATTTGCTCACCTGAATTTCATCTCATGGGATACAATCTGTTAGTTCTAACTAACGGTGTTAGGGTATTTGTTAACGGAGACTAAACTGTTCATTTCTTATAAAGGTGAAGGATTAAATATGCTCAAACTATATTTGAAGGACCATTTTACATCTACGAGCTATTAATGTCATTTTCTCCACAAGCAACCCTAGAACTATGGATTCTAATCTTTAATTTGCATACAATCATTTTAATATAAACTAGTTTTTGGATTCGTACGTTACGCGTGTACCCTATTGTAAGCACGTGATTTTTGCTTCACGGACAATCACTCCAAAAGAAATCAAAAAAATAATAACAAATGGCCTCACTGTACAATTTTTTCGATTTTTACGTGACATGTGCTGGTAGTCGTTTGTGGTTCTATCCATCTTTTATTTTGATTTATTTAATCTTATCAAACAAAGTACCAAATATGTATGTCATGTATAATTAAACCATAATTCGGTTAGTAAAAGAAAATTCACAAAATATGCGTCTTTTATTCTAAGGTGTGATTTAACCTATTTTTATATTTTTGATATGTGAGTGATAATTGTGTTAAGTGTTAAATTAATGGTTGTTTTAATTTCGTTTTTTTATTTATTTTTAAAAAATTTAGAAAACAAAAGAAAAGAATGAAGAAAATCCGTTTGGGCCAAGAAATGAAACCAAAAATAGGCCCAAACCAATTTTCGACCCAGTCCAAACCAGGCCTCAGGCAGACCCCCCCAAACGACGTCGTATGAAGGCGTTTGATCTGAGCCGTCCGTCCAGGCCAATCCAACGGCCCAAGACCCCTTTTAGCAACCCGTTTCCAAACCCGACCCAGTAACCGATTCAACCCAACCCCTCACTTAAACCAAACGACCCCGTTTCTATACTAAACGACCCCGTCCCGTCTCTCACC